GGGACAGAAATCCACGGCTGGGGACAGAAATCCACGGCTGGGGACAGTGTGGGCCAGCATCAGAAACCCCAGTGCCAGCAATAATCTTGTGGTGGACGTGGTTTTCTATGTATATTACAGACACAAGTAGTGGATGTTCCTTTGCTTGTTTTTCAGTGTATTTTTTTCTATTTGGGAAGGGCTTGGCATGAAATAGTTGGGTTTTATTTGCACAATGGGGAGTGGTTTGATGGTCAGATGAGGAGCAAGGAAAAGGCACCGAGATACCTGCATTCAGAGGTGGGAAGCAGGGCATGGAAACAAAGGCTGCATCAGCTTCCTGAGGTCTGAGTTGATGTTTCCAGCCATTCAGAGCATCGTGACAGTCTCAGCAGGCCCTGTCCTGGACCGTGTGTGGCACGTCTGTCACATCTCAGGGCTGCCCAAGCTGTGTTCCTGCAGGCTTTGTGCCTGCTGGTCCATTTGGCATATCAACATTTTCAGTACAAAATCCAGACTGGTGTGAGCAAAGGCAAAATGTTTGTGTTTTCTGAGCTGACAGGCAGCCTGTTTCTGTACCCACCTGGTGTTCAGGAGACTAGAGGCTCTTCCAGACCTGTAGGAATGGTGCTGCCAGAGAGTCCAGCCTGCACAGCTCCCTGCTGCCTTCAGCCTGCTGTTGATAAGTAATATTTTTTTTTTAAAAAGGGTTAAAAAAGCATTTTTCATTGGGTTGATCTGCGAGCATTTGCACTGGCAGAGCTTTTCCAGGTGGTTCTGGGGACGTGTCTGTTCTCAGTGTTTCTGCTGGTGCTTTGTTCCCAGCCCTGGCAGGCTGGGCGAGGGGACCCCACCACGGGGTGTGTGACAGGGGACCCTGGAGCCATCTCTGGGAGCACTCTGGGACTGTTCCTGACAGCCCCGTGGTGCAGGGTCACAGGGATGAGGAGCCCTGCATGACAAACCCACTAATTCAGCCACGATGCTTTTTGGAGTCCAACGAGTGAGGCTGAGAGTGCCCAGCCTGGCGCAGTGACCGATGTAATTGCAATTAGCATCTCATCTGGCCTCTTGATTCAGCCCAAATCCTGGCAGCAGTGTTTGGACACTGTTTAATTTGCAAGCAGATGCCTCCACCAGCTGCTCTCCCCGGGCAGATGTTTCCCCCTCGGAAACACATCGTGTGAGCCATGGGAATGTGGGGCT